GTTAGGAAACCTATTGTTATCAGGTCTTTGTTTGCTTTTGATGTTGAAACGGTCTTGACCATGCACAATGTTTGATCTATGCTCATCCAAAATTGCAAAATAAGTAAACAAAACTTTGTCTATTGGAYTGTTGTAAGGAATATTCAAATATCTCTTATAAATCTTTAAATATTTTGAACTAGCAGCCAAAAGAAAGATTTTGGTCTGTTCACTCAGCCATTGCCAATGATGGTAAAACAACTAAGGATTGTGCACTGTCACGCTTGAAAAATTAGCAAACAAAGACTTGTAACAAAAGGGTTTCCTAACCATTCCCCTCTATTAACTATKTTTCAACTAATAAAGAAAGTAAAAAATAGTTAGAGTAAAAATAATTTTGAGGTGGTAACAAAAGTTTACAAAGCCAGCTCCCCATCATTCACTTAGAAATGGAAATATTAAATATGATCTACAGATACGTGAATTGCTTAACTCATTCCTTTTCTTGTTTATTTGTTCTTTTATTTGTTGATTTGTTTGTTGGTTCATTTATCCATTCATTCATTTTCCATCCATCCATCAAAGTAACATTTCATCACTTCTACAGGCAGCATGTGATCCCCAAAGTCTGTTTACATATGGACCAAGACAAGGGTTGAAGTCCTTTAGAAATGAATTAGCAGACTTTCTCCATGATCACTATCAAGATAATGTATCAAGGTATACAAGACTAATTAGGATGACTATAGAAGTGAAGACAGCTCTATTTAGAGGATAAAAGAAAAGAATTTCAATCACATGAGAATTAAAGACCCATTGTATATGTCCTCCTTGAGTTGCATTCCAAAGTTCTGCAAGGGTTTAATATTAGGATGATTATAGAACTGAAGGAATTTGTGGCCTGAAAATTTGCATATAATGTAACATTTCCTTTTTTTCTAATTCCTTTTTTATTTTGTGGATAAATTTGTCAAAATTATCAAATATTTTGTCAGTGTTGAATTTTTATGCTAACTGCGGTTAAGAAATTATAATTGTAACATTATTGAAATGAGAATAAAGTTGTTGTTGTGTTGTTGTTGTAGTCCCAAGGTTTCRCTAATGCACCACTCATAAACCTATTTTGGATTTTCCTTTATTTTTCTTTTTTCTTTTTAATATTTTTTCAGCGAGCACCTGATGGTCACAGGAGGTGCAACACAAGCTCTCATCATGCTGTGTAGTGTTTTCTTTGAAAAAGGGGATGCTGTATTTGCAGAGGAGCCAATTTCACCAAAAGAACTGGATATTATGAAACTTCTTGGCCTCAACATTATACCTGGTACTGATTTGACATTGATTATAAAATGACTGCAGTTGTAAATATCTTTTTCTGATTGCAGCGTGCAAGCACACTGGTCATTCTCTTGAGGATAATTATATTCATTGTTTGAAATTTTATCATATAATATATCAGGGCAATGCTCAAAACTATATGACCACATTTAATGTATTTGCATACTTTTATGCACGGCTTTGTGCTGACAAAAAAGCTTTTACACGCCTTGGTAAGACCAGTCGGCTTCACATAGAAATGTGTAGGTTTAATGTACAAAAATCTGGTAACTAGATTTTTTTACATTAAAGCAGCCTACAACATCTGAAAGAGCACTTATAAAAGATCAATGAATGTAGACATTTTGAGTGGTATATGAGCAAAATATCCAAAGATATTTAGAGCCCTCTCCCCTAGGGACTTTTGGATCAAAACCAATCTTCCTCTACCAATCGACACGGACAGACAGACAGACAGTGACCAAGGGACTTATCTCGCAATCTGAAAGATATTGGTTTAAATTAGTTAGTATGGTTTAATGAGCTCAGTATTTTTTCAAACTTTCACATTTTATTTTAACAACCATATTCTTTCATATATAAAAGAACTTGCCATATTATTTCTTAAATTTTAGATCTTTATGCTAATTGAGCTGGTGACATTATGACATCAAGGCATTGTACATGAATGGAAATGGAAAAAAAGTAACTGTTAATGGATTGGACGATTATGTAGACTCATGCCTATAGACACTTTCCATTAATGGGTCTATTTTCCGACGTTAGACAACATCATTGTATTGAGAATAAGATTATCCTTGATATGGTATCCTTGTGTCTTCTCATGTACAGCCTTTAAACAAAGAAATGATACTCTAGGGAATAATATTTGGGTTGAAATGAAAAAAAACATTATGCCCAAGCTAAAATTTATTTTTGTTTAGTTCCAGTAGATGAAGATGGACTTGATGTAAATGAGTTGGAAAAACTACTGTCATCTAACTCCTCAAAAGAAGATCGTTCTGTTTCGAAGAGAGTTTTTTCTGGTGGTCTTTTTTTGACTCCTCATTTTCAGAATCCAACAGGAGCCTGTTTGAGTGTTGGTATGTTACTTAGGTCAATAATAATTGAAATTTGATCAACTGTTGCAACTGTTGAAAATACGCGTTGTCGGCGATAGGAAGACGCAGCGCATGTTCACAGCCAGCCCAGTTATTTTTATCCAAACTAACATATATTTGGACCTTTCAAAGTATGTAACCTTGTTTGTGTTGTCTGTGGGCATGTTAAAGCATCTCTCAAAGTCTGTAGTTCTAGAACTTGTTTTGAGAAAACGTAAATAGAGGATTAAATAAATCATAATTATACTTATTTCATGTTCGAAATGAATGAATAATTTTTTGTTTTGTACTTGATTTACATTTTTAGAAAGATGTAAGCAGCTTGCCAGATTAGTCGCACAACATAATATCCTTTGCATAAGTAATGATGTTTACCATTGCTTTTCCTACGGTGATGGTAAAGCGCCATTTGGTGCTCCCCCAAAGAGGCTGTTTTCCTATGATACCAGGTATTCAAATCTTGAGTTATTGAACCCTGAAACAACGTCAGACCACGGTTACCATATTTACTCGTTTAAGCGTCCCGATTAAACGCCGCCTTCAAATAAGCGCCGCAGACTAAAATTATGTAGAAGCGCCGCTTTTATCACTACAAAAATGACATTGGTATTTTGTATTTCTAAACATTCGTATTCACTTCGTATTGAATCATTGGTTACTCATTATTTATATGGTTAACACCTTTTTTTGAAAATAGACGCCGTTCCCGAATTAACGCCGCGTATGCATGAAACCCCAATAGTTTAATGCCACTGCGCTTCAGGGGCGGATCTAAGGGAGGAGTGCAGGGGGAGAGTAGCCCCTCCTTCTAGATGAGTTAATATCCACTGCTTCATTTAGTGGTTGACTTTGTAAGCAAAGTGTGCCCTCCTTCCTAAAACAAAAATTCTGGATGAAGCACCCCCCTAGAAAAAGTCGTATATCCGCCCCTGCGCTTAAACAAGTAAATACGGTAATCTTGCTCTGACTTAAATCAAACCCTGAAACAGCGTTCATAAACGCGAGTAGAGTGGTTTTCAAAAACCCGTGAAATAAACTTTAGCGTATTACGCTTTAATACACTTTATTGTCTGTATTTTGTATTGATTTTGTTTTGTGTTTTCGATCGGTGTATTACAATTTATTACACCTTAGTTATTACACTTTGTTTCACGGGTTTTTGAAAACCACTCTAATAAATATTTGTTAATCTAGTTATCAATATATTTGTTATTCTCAGCCACGGTATCGCTGAAGCTACGGGTCACATCGTATCTTTAGGTACCTTTTCTACCATTTTTAGTCCAGGGATGCGGATGGGTTGGATTGAAGCATTTCCTAACATACTGGATGCCGTTAAGAATAGGTACTGAACGACTGATGTCTTTAAACGAGTCGCAGTGGACTTGTACAATAAACCTCCTCGGCTCGTGTGTAATATTTACCAATTACGACCACGTGTCATTCCCTTGAGAATACGAATCTTTGCATTTTGTTTGAGTTGTATCCATTCTTGTGTCTTCTCATGGGCAACCGAGCGCAACCGTTAAACCAAGAAATGATACTCTAGAGAATAACTATGGTCCGGAATGGAACAAAATGATGCATAAGCCGAGGAGGTCCCATTAATTCAAAATCAATAATTATTAACTTATTATTAAAAATCATTCTACGCTTGGCCATATTGTAGATGATAAAATGCTTGTTCTACTTTGAAGGTACATGACATGTCACTAGTAACTCTTCACACCATTGTAAAAACTAATAGACCTCTTTACCTTGGACGTAATGTTTTCCCATCTCAGACCACGTGTCATTCCCTAGAGAATAAGATTCTTTGTTTCAGTTGTATCCATATTTATGTGTCTTCTCGTGCATAACCGTTAAACGAAGAAAGATACTCTTGGGAAAGACACATGGTCTGAGATGGGAAAACATTGCGCCCAAGGTAAAAAGGTGTATTGAATATATTTTCGTAACATTAGTTTGTTTGAATGCAGTGTATTTGTTAAACACTGTGGTCCACCACAGCTTTACCTAACAGGAGTGATGGAGAGTGTTCTTGGTCTGGGCTCGCTTAAAGAATGCTTGGCTCTTCTTCGTCACACTTATAATGTGAGTACAAAGCTGTAGTCACCTAATCAGTTATCAATATTATCAGTTATTTACATGGGAGTACTCCCCACCCCTGGGTGTAGACACTACTTTGTTTGCACTGATGAGATATTCTTCCTATCCTCTGGGGCTCAAAACATATCACAGTGCCTCTCAATAGCCGTACATTTGCTATCGCGAAAAACTTGGGCTTTGATGRAATTCAATGTAGTGTTTCCATGGCAATGTCGATAAACACAAAGTTCTTAAAGGCACGTGCCTATGAAATGTCATGAAAACGCCTTGATTGACGTTGACGAAATCTATTCGGTCATCGCGACGACGATTCTTCTGTAAAATAACACTCACTGACAACAGCTTCCTATTCTCGAGATCTGTAAGCTCTCATATCGTTATCTTTTAAATTATTTAATTCATACTCGCTATAAGTTAGGGGATGATAGTAATGGCTTTGTACCAGCACGTGATGGCAGCCATAACAGGAGAAAGCGGGAACAAATAAATCTGGTCTAATCTAAATAAATAAAAAAAAAWAAAAAATATAAGATGATTCTTACTTTCTCTTCACATGACAGGAATTGTTGCCCAAAGTTACACTGAATTGTTTCAGGTAGAGGTTAACTAATGGTAAACGTCTTTATATTAGTGTTGGGCTCGGAAACTACTACGGCACTACTTAACGGCTCTATACAGTGTGTGCAACCATGTACTCAAAATCCTTTGAAACAAAACAACCGCCATGTTGGTTGATCTATCACTACTAAGAGAAGCTAGTGAGGAATGCTTTGTTATCTTCACCCAACATGGCGGCTATGACGTAACATGCACCCCAAGAAGTCAGTTGCGTCCTAAAATTCCACATAATCTTCTATTATTTGCTTGCAGTCACGTTTGGAGTGTCTATGTGAGGCTCTCATCCAGTACTTACCAAACTGTACTTTCATACGACCAAAGGTACTTCTTCCCTTTGTGTTTTGCAAAATATATTGTAATTATATTAGTATTGGTCGTTTCCTCCCCAACGCTTCATTTGCCTGCATGTTTGCCTGATGCATGTGCTGCTAATGCGTCGTCTCGCAACCATGTTGACGTTGGTTTAATGGACTACTTCGACGGTGCGTCGGTATAAGCGTGAATCTCAAGTCATTATGGTTTGCCCAGAGGGCAAGACCGAACAAATATACTGAAATGACGATATTTGTAATTAATTTCTTGTTATAATTCATTGTCTTGTTTTGAGCCGCAAATGTCAATCGAAGCCAAAATTTATAATAACAATTCAAAGTTTTGTCTCTTTACCCCCTGGATAACCCACAATGCCTTGTGATTCAAGATGGCGACCGCATCGTCGAAATAGTCCCCTCTCAAACCCGCCAAATTTTAAATGCGTCGATGGCGATAAAGAGCCATTTCTCGGTTCTTTTCTGTATTTTGAGAATTTTTCTTAAGGGTCTACGATTTTTCTCCCTCCGCAAACTAAATCAAGCTTTTGAATTCCAAATCGGATTTGGAATTTTCTCAATCATATGCGCCCTCGAGTGATTGTTCTGTTATGAAAACGCCTTGATTGACGTCCACTAAAACCTTATTCTTTTGCGACAGAAACAATCGCTAGAGGGCGCATGTGATTGAGAAAGGTTGTAATTCCTCTGATGTGATAATCCCACGCTGTGGCATAACAGTGTAACGGTAGATCAGATTCTATTGAAATTTTTTTTCCTCCCAATTCTTAGGGTGGATTTTTTATCTGGCTTGTTTTACCATCAGACATGGATGCTCAAGGTGACCTACCATCGTCTTTCATATACTATAATATTTTGTAACTCTTCTCTCGATCTTTTAACATTTTGTCCTTTTTTTAATTTTTAATTTCTTTAAAACTAAAAACATATACTTTATTGATTATTCTTATGACTAATAAAAATTTCGAACCATTTAAATATACATATAATAAATAAGAAAATTCCCGACATTTCTAATTGTATTTTTATTTTTATTTTACAGTTTTACTTAAAGTTTGTAAAGAGAAGTTCCAAGTTGATTTTCAGCCTGGTTGTTCGTAAGTCTACTACCATAATTTTGTATGCATGCATTCATAGTTATAATAAAGGGGAATGGTTATGAAACCTATGGCTATAGGTCTTTGTTCACTTTTTTCAAGCGTGACCGTGCACAATCCTTTGTTTGACAATTGTTTTACTATTGTTGGCAATGGCTGAGTGAACAGACCAAAATCTTTCTTTTGGCTGCTAGTTCAAAATACTCAAAGATTTRTAAGAGATATTTGAATATTCCTTACAACAATCCCATACGCAAAGTTTGTTTACTTATTTTGCAACTTCGGATGAGCAAAAATCAAACATTGTGCATGGTCAAGACTGGTTCAACATCAAAAGCGAACAAAGACCTGATAACAATAGGTTTCCTAACCATTCCCCTCTATTAACTATGATGCATTTGAAACGTAAAAGACACTACCAATCTAAAAAAAAATCTAATTCGAACTAGAAAGGGCCTGGATGAAAATTACTGTGTAAATATAGTTACCCTATCACATCAAGTTGTGTAGGTTTTTCCTTCTAGTCTTTTATTTAAAGGAGTAGAATATATACACTTATTTCAATAAAGTTAGTCACCTGAAAATCTATAAAGCTGAGGCCGACAAGGATTATTGGTAGATTCATTTTACACGTTCAACCGCTCGATAACTGTTCATGGACTTGCGAATTTTTTACCGGTTACAGTCTGACCTCTTCTGAGCATCATCGAACTGCAGTTTGTATTTAAAAAGCTTTGTATATATATGCTTCCTTGATATGAAAAGTTTCCCATGATGCTCAGTGATCTCAGCTTTTAGGTTTTTGGTGACTAACTTTATTGAAATAAGTGTATATTCGAGCAGAAAAACAAAGGCGGCACRAAAAGATTAATCTCCCAGCAAAGTCCATCCTACCCGGATATGCGCAGGGAAAAAGATGTTTATTTTGCTTGCTTTTTAGCTTGAAAAGCAGGCGTTCTTGCTAAGCCCCAATTTTCTCGCGGGTACCTAGTTGAAACAGGAACCCCAAAACCCCGATTTAACTCCGATTCCTCTCGAAATCCACAAGAACCGCTGCTCTGCAGGCTATTTGCTTTTTGGGCCAAATATATATTGAAATTTATTTAGGAAATCGCACGATCTCGAGTACAATTCGAGATTTTATAGGTACGAGTGATGTTTTGAAAGTTTTCAAAATTGGACGAGCCTGTTAGGCTTTTATTTTATTTTCCCAATATTTTTTTATATAAAGATTTTTCAGTAATCGCTGCTGACAAGTTCGTTGCTTGGACGCTCCCTTTGGTGTTCTCTGAGTATCCCGTGTGTTTTAATCAGATTATTTAACTCTCTACTTTTTGTATCGGCTCACAGATTCTCCACAGATTCCACCAAGTTAAAGACCTATCTACGACTTAGCATAACTCGTTATGGCGATCATACCCTGACCAATGCAGTCTCACGGATAGGAGAAGCCTTAAAAGAACTTACAGCACTGAGATAAAAGTGAAAAGACATAAATGGGAATAGAAAATAGTATTCTTCGGTATTAAAGTAATTTCTACGGCCATTATGTGTGTTGTTGGTGTTTAATAATGCATAGTAGGGCGGGTGGGTGAGAGGGGGGAGGTACTCCCATATATGAACTATACGGTAATGATCCKCTGAACAGGTTATGGTTTTTCGAGCTTCTTGTCATAAACAGGGTATGCAATTTCACTCAAATTCTCCCTGAGTTTCCTGTCATATTCAGGGTTTCTACTTTCGTATTGATCGAAAGTTTTAGTTTAATTTTAGCTTAGTTTAATTTTAGTTGAAACTATAAACGTTTTCTATTGTAGAGGGTTTCAAAGCGAGCTCTTTCGACGGTTTTGCTGCGGCGAGTATTGCGGGTAAGTGCTCTGACTTTGGCATGAAGTCAACAGTTATTCCAAAGTCTTATGCCATATGCAACAAGCCAACGTTAACTGGTCCTACCCAGTTTGACCGTGGATAAACCGGTTTGTGACGTGAGTCCCTGATAAGCCCTCCTTCGTATCTAGTAAGATATTCTCACTTTCAAGACATCCTCTCCCCTTGACGCCCTACTTGATTGTACAGGGAATCGGAACTTGGTATATAGAAACAAGAGCATTCAACCAAAGTCTCTTTGTGTCGGGAAGGCAAGAGCTATTCCTCCATCCAGAAGGAAAATTGCCTGGTGACATTCATCCACCCTGACACCGTTAAATTACCCTGGTTTTTCCAATTATTGATAAAAAGTAAGCCAAAACTGCTTTGATGATATGACATGATTCGTAATTATTTATTAATATCTTTAGCTTTCGTTGTGCAATGAGGGATCTAATATTAACAAATTCACTGATTCCTCCCCCCAATTACTAGGGGAGAAAAGATGAATTTCTTACAGCTTTATTATTATTTGTTTTATGTCGTTACTTAATAGCAGCGCAAGAGAAATGGCAAGCGGAATAACTCCATGTCTCTGACCGAAACCAGAGAAAAAAGTTWGCGCATGCGTTCTTTTTAGCAAGTTTTCTTAGAACTTTAATAGGAGTTTAAGTTAAACATTAAATGTTCGTTTTCTCTAGTGAGTATACGAAAAATAGTATACTTTCATTGGAACCAAGATCCTCTGTATTAAAAGAAATAATTCCATTCTTCGCCGCATTGAACCCATTTTCTCTTTCTCCGCTAAACGAATCAAAAGTATCCACTTCCAAGTTGCGAAGCTATGATGGCAGAGATAACGAGAAGCATGTCTGTGAATAATTAAAAATATGGTAGCAATTAGCTAAAATAAAGATAAGGTAAATAAAGACATGAATAGGTGGTTGAATATATTAATACTTACTTGTGGTCGTAATTGTATTCCCGTCACTTGCTTTCTCGCACGGTTTTGGCATCGAACGTTCAACCTCGGGAACGAAATTGTTCCAAAAAGCCACGTACTCAGAACGGAGATTATCTTCTATCACCATGGTTGGTTTAAAAGCAACGTACTGTTGATTGTTCAAATCGTACTTAGGCCAAGGTGTTGGGATACTCTCTGGATTATTGGGATCTCTGGAATGTTATTTGAAAGGAATTTTACTGAAAAGCATAACATGTAAATGCGCTTATGATGAATCAGGAGCAAAAACTAAGTGTAACTGACTCTGAGCAACTTAGGTAGATCATGAACTTCCTGTTGTGATTACAAGCCCTATTAAACGTTCTTACCCAGATTTAGCAAAGTTAGTCCAGATTTTAATGACTTCACGGCTGAAGTTGGCATCTTTTGTATACAGCTGACTGGCATTCATCAAAGGAAAACCAAATACGTAGGAAAGATCTGCAGCGTGGAATGCTTTAACCCATGAAGGGATGGGTCCAAAAATGCCATTATCTGCCCTGTACTGCAACTGATAGAAGTATGTTGGAAGGCTGTGGTTGACAAATGCTTTTGCTGACTGAATTGCTGGTGCAATGAACATAGCGTCAGCAATCATGTCCATGAACATTCGACGGTTTCTGTAACGGTCATTCACGTTGCTCCAGTCTGTGTAACGGTAAATCATCGCGGCTGGTAATGGCGGTTTTTGATTGACAACAAACTTCAGTACGTCACCACCTCTGACTGTTTCTTCAAAAAGTTTTCTTTGTATGCCGTCGGTGACATTCATCCCGTAAGCTATAGCTTTAAACAATAGAGTAGACATTTCTGTTAGAAAGACCTTATCCACCCGAGCACAAAAGCTTGTGGCACAGCCAACTGAGCGAATAGGCGATATGCACTAACAGATCACGTGATCATTTCTGCTATGTTGGATGGCGAAGGTGACAAAATTGGCATTTCCAAAGAGCAAAGGAGCAGTGACGTCCAATCCTGAACCAAAAAGGCTAGTATCGCAGTAGTTTCCTTTTTCTCCTTTGTTGTTTGGGATATGGAAATTTGTTGGTTTGGCAATGCAAATACAACCGTCTCCTACGCAGCCGCTATTAGTGTCGTCACACAACACTCGCTCCCCTAAGTAGTTATTAGTGTCGTCACACAACGCTCACTCCCCTACTTAGGGAAGTGAGTGTTGCGTGAAGACGCTAAAAGGAGGAGACCTAAGAATATATTGACTAGGACCGCTTAAAATTTGACTCAATTGACGAAAGTTAACTTGAAACCTTACACGTCTTGAATTATAACTAGTTGTCGCAGTTGCGTAGCGTAATAATGAAATATGGAAATGGATATGTATAATAACTTGGAAACGTTTAAAAAAACGTTTTCAAAAAATATGAGAAATACCTGTTATGGCGTTAGTCATGACAGTGCCCTCATCATTGTTCACTCCAACCATCAAGTTGTATTTTTCAAACTGTCCTTTCTCAAGCAAAACACTGGGAAAATCTGTTGATTAAACGAAATTTATTGATCAAACGAAGTAAGAATCCAAATATTATCCAAAAATATTTTTCTTGACCCATTCTTCTGAAGACTGTGTCAACCTRCACCCTTTTAGGGGAGAATGAACAAAATTAATATCATATGGGAAACAAAATAATTAGAATAAATTGTTCTGTATATAACTATCCTAAATAGCATTTCAGGCTTCAATATAACATTTCAGGCTTCAATATTTCTTAGAGGTGAGATCCAAGTTTTCAAGTTTTCATCGAGTTTTGTCGGGCCTGTTATCCAACGTTTCCGATCGATCGTATGTGTATGTGTAGCCTATATGAGTATAGCGGCCCAGTGAGCCGGGSTTTGGGGGCCGAAGGGGGGCTGCTTTTTCCCAAAACCAATCCCCCATCCCTTTTGAGCAACTACGAAGGCTGTGTATGTGTTCAAAAAATGCTGAATATTTGTTTTCTATTTGTACAGCATTAAATCGAGTACCTGGAAGAAAGTGTTTGTCAATTACTGGTAGAAACGAAAAGTTGTTCGTTGTATGACTGATCATCTCGTTAACAGATTTGGTCTTAAGGCACTCCTCCATCTCAACCAGATTAGTACAGCCTATTTTTTTACCAAAGTCCCTGGAAATTCGATAAAATATGAATGATATTGATATAGAAATAACGAAAATAAATATGCTTGGATGTCAACAACAGCAACAGGGAGTAATTGTCGCTTCAGTTGTGGCCATCGTAATAGGCCAAGTTCAATATCTTCAAATTCAGACTTGATTGCAAGGCTTTAGTCGTTTGGTACTATGTCATGTATAGTGCAAACACGTGGATCACCAACAGTGGCGGACGGATCCAGGGGGATCGAAGGGGTCCACGGAACCTCCCTTGAAGGTTTGATCTTTTAGGTAATAGAAAAAAAATCCTGAATCCGACACTGACCAAATACATTTATTGGTAGGAATAACATAAAACACCAGCAGGGCCGACCACGCAGTAAGCGTCAATTATAACCTTGTGTATGTAAAAGCTTAGCTGCATGCGACTCGAGCATAACAGGGTCTGAAATGAGTAGCCATACCACAGGGAGCCCGGCTTGGTGATGCTAAATCGGTAAAACAATCACGTTTCATATGTTGATGACTGTAATCGTAACTCAATGCCAGACTCGTACCCAGTCGCTTCTCTTGTCTTATTGATCTCACGCTGTGGTTGATGGGAAGGATTTAGCGAGTTCCCGGTACATCAGGGGAAGGACGGAAGAGAAAAGCGAATTATTAGTAGTGACCGTTTGTGTATGGGTGTATTGAGTTACGATTATTATTTAATGTCATCAACATATAAAACGTGATCGTTTTACCGATTTAGCATCACCAAGCCGGGCTCCCTGTGGCCATACAAACTAAACCTTATACTCATTATTTATTGATTGCCTAATGATTCTTACCTTGTTATATTTTCCACTTTGTCGTAACTGATAGCAGCCCATTTAGCCGTTGCTGCTCCAGACTGCATGATGACATTCTTGAAAAGGCCTTTGGTCAGCGGAGATAGCATGAGAAGGGACACGCTTGCAGCTCCTGCTGACTCTCCAAATATGGTCACTTTGTTGGGATCCCCGCCAAATCTGCGTCACATACATTACATATATAAAACCTTCATTATCATGATGAACTATTATTAGATGCATTTGAATTTAATTGGAATACAGTCGACTCTCCCGTAAGCGACCACCTCGGGGCCATGAGAAAGTTTTCGCTTACTGGAGATGGTCGCTTACGAGAGCTAACGCAGGAAGCCTAAACAATGGGAATCCCAACACAGGAAGCCCAAACCCTTCATAATTTTGTAACTCACGTGTAAAAACTACTGTATTAACGATTAAACTGTTTTAACCAAAATTTTTAATGTGCTATATATGTTTACAGTAGTGCAATTGTAAACATTTCGTCGGGTTTTCAATACCCGATGACTCTATGTTCTTAAATGTTTTATTGTTAAAGGATCTGTCGCCATTACTGGCTCTTGGGTGGTCGTTTACTGGAGAGGAAAAACAGTGAAAAATTCCAAAATTTTAACCCCAAAGGTGGTCGCGGTCGCTTACGAGAGTGGTYACTTACGAGAGAGTTTTTTACAGAGTTTATATGGGGAACAAAACGTGAAATTCAAAAAGTAGTCGCTTATGGGAGATGGTCGCTTACTAGATTGGTYACTTACGAGAGAGTTTTTTACAGAGTTTATATGGGGAACAAAACGGGAAATTCAAAAAGTAGTCGCTTATGGGAGATGGTCGCTTACTAGATTGGTCGTTCAAGGGGAGTCGACTGTATTCATAGACTCATGTAGCATGGCCGTAATGTTTTCCCGGCATTCGAAAATATGCCCAATCTTTTCCATGGCTGGTGAAGCACAAATCTTCCGTGATCTTATATATAAGAGCATGATTAATCTTAAATGAATGTCAGAGTCACTAGCAATTTATATTACGTTGATCAGATGAGACTCGAAAATATGCATGAATTGAATCTTATCCATGGCTGGTGAAGCACAAATCTTCCGTGATCTTATATATAAAAGCATGATTGATTTTAAATGAGCGTCAGAGCCAACAGCAGAACAGCAGAATAGCAGTTATTATGGATGTATGCAAATGAGATGCAAATGAGACAACAAGCATTGTATCGGTCCGATAGCCTCACTAATAATTAATCTGCAATAGGACTACTATTACCCATACTAATTGATGCCTGTCTATAAACAACTCAGTCGCAGTTCTAATAATATATATCAAACGTCTCCGTTTAACCGGCCCCCGCAACATTAGCTTACTTTCCATGCATATTATTGATGTATATATATACAGCATTCACGATAAAAATCTATGGGATGATTTAAAAAACTTTATGGTCAACAGATTAATGCAAAGAATTTTCAATATTAATGGCCTTAGTGTGCAAATCTTAAAGTTTGTGATTTTGAGAACTAAGTTTTCAAAGTTTTGTAGACGTCAAATAAACAAATTAAGTTGTTACCCGGCCGTTTTGTCTGCATTTGACCTCCTAGATTAAAAACTGTTTTTCTTCTGTGACTACAGAAACAGTGTGAGGCTAGTGGCGTCAGTGTGTGATCCACCAGTTCAGGCACTATTTATTTCAATGTTACTACATTAAATTAACCTGTCTCATGACAGTTTGACAATTATGAAAACCGTGGACATCACCGTAGAGTGGTCTTTTAGATAAATAGAAACCTTATTTACGTGTCAAAAGAATCTAGCCGATGGAGAAACCCTCTACTTATAGGGGACACCAACCCGTGAAAGAAATAGAGGATATTACATGGGCGCGCGGAGATACGAATTTTATCTTCGAGTGTTGAAAAGATCTCTCACGAGTGAGCGTAGGAAATGAATCTTTGAGGCCATGAGGCTGTGGGGCAATGCCGGGCAGTGAGGTGGTGAGGCAGCGAGGTCAGAGATAAGGYAGCGATCAGCAAGGTTGTGAAGCAGCAAGGCCGATGTGCGCAAACACGCCTGTCACGAGAAACAATCGAAAAGGGAGGACACCAACCCGTGAAAGAAATAGAGGATATTACATGGGCGCGCGGAGATACGAATTTTATCTTCGAGTGTTGAAAAGATCTCTCACGAGTGAGCGTAGCGAATGAGTGAGAGATTTTCAACACGAGAAGATAAAATTCCTATCTCCAAGCGGCCATGTAATATTCTGTTTATTATATAATTATCAATAAAGTATGTTTTGGCTTTTTCAGGCAATTCTTTCCGTGTATTTTTGAATAGCCATCGCAATGGTGTTATTTTCACACATGAAAATAACATGTTATTTTCACGTGTGAAGATATCAATTTTCCGAAATAGAGAAAAATAGATATTTCATTGGTAATTATATAATAAAAAAAAGACTTTTTAGTTAGTACAAGAGTCTACTACAGCTAACTATTATGCGTACTAGTCTATAAGGGTTAATTAGGTAGGCAATTACTCACCCTGCAATATTTCGCTTYACCCATTTCAGGGCTTGAACCTGATCTAACATACCATAGTTGCCTCTAAGATCACCATTCTCGCCTGTTGTCAGGAATCCAAAGACTGTGAGACGGTAATTTATCGCTACAACAATCACATTACCAAGACTAGAAATATAGCTGCCATCGTATATTCTGTTGGAGCCGGATAAAAAACCTCCTCCATGAACCCAAACCATCACAGGTAAAGGTGAACCACTAGACGCTTCAGGTACAAATACATTCAGGTTGAGACAGTCTTCGCTTACGTTTATACCACTAAAACGAGTTGGAATCTGTGGACATTCTTTCCCAAATGTTATCATGTTCTTCACGTCTGACCATTTTGTAGCATTTTGTGGAGGCTTAAAACGATCTGCTTTAGCGAAAGGAATACCAAGGTACTTTCTGACTACATGACCCGTGGTGAGGTTAGCAACAAGCCCACGAATCCTTCCACTTTCGATATTCACTTCTGGTGTATACTGAAAAGCATTCACCAGCAAGATCACAGAAGAAGACACAATCAGTGATAGAAACATTTTGCCAAATTAGAAATGAGCTCCGGTGCTTCGCACTAGCAATATACTCAATACGTGCACACTGTTATTCGCTTTGATTTATCGATTCCTGAAATATTCATACGACATCTACACCTACTTGCAAGAACGTTTACATACGAATAAATTATAAATTGTAGTTATTATTATTATTAATGGCGCTTGTAGCGTCAGTCACGAGATCATGCCTCGTGGCAACAGGTCAACACTTATGAGCAAATCGTGACTAAATATATACACCTACTTGCAAGAACGTTGTCATACGATATTAGAACATTAGTAATTTAGTGGGATAGGAATTATATTAAAATACAAAAGAAGATCACTGAAGCTGAACATTTTCTTTTGTCYTTTAATATATTCCTTTCTCACTAAATTACTAGGTGTATATATTTAGTCACGATTTGCTCATAAGTGTTGACCTGTTGCCACGAGGCATGATCTCGTGACTGACGCTACAAGCTCCATTAATAATAATAATAACTACAATTTATAAAGCGCTTATCCAGGGCTGCTCTAGGCGCTGTGAAAGATGAAATACAAAATAATACAAAAATGATGATTACGATAATCAGAAAAATAATAAAGGTCACACATTAAAAGCTAATTTAAACAAATAAGTTTTTAAAGAAGTCTTGAATGATGACAAGCTCTCAGATGGAGAACTCAGCACTATAATTAGAATAGTGCAAACCTTTTATGGCATTAAACACTCAGTAAATATTTAAACTATCGCTCATACACTCGTGTCTGCTATTGTTCGACACAGCATTCTTCATTTGCTCGAATACACCACTATGAATTTTGAAGTCTCTACTATAAAAGAGATGTAACGTACTTATTGTTGTGCCTTAATTTCCGATTATATTTAATTGAGGTTTTGATTAATTTAAAATATGATTTCGTAATCTTTCGTGCTTTAGTACTGTACTAAAACTGCTGAGACTGAGGTTAGATTTCATATTTTAATTGAAAATAACGGTTTTTGGCGGGTAGAAGAGCACAAAACACGTCATCATAATGGAATTTATGGTATCAAACAATCTTCATGAGGTTGTGAGGCAATGAGTGTGGTGTATTTGTGTTTTATTATGCAAGCGTCATATACAATTACAGGTGTCAATCAATGCAAATCTAACAATTAGTCTGTGAGCCGAGGAAATGAATCTTTGAGGCCATGAGGCTGTGAGGCAATGCCGGGCAGTGAGGTGGTGAGGCAGCGAGGTCAGAGATAAGGTAGCGATCAGCAAGGTTGTGAAGCAGCAAGGCCGATGTGCGCAAACACGCCTGTCACGAGAAACAATCGAAAAGGGAGGTAACTAATTATCGCCCCATGTAAGGGAATCCGGACTTATGGTGGATTCCGGATTTCGAGAGTCTGGATTACGGATTCCAAGGGTCTGGATTCCGGATTCCAAAACTTTTGTATTGAGGATTCCGGATTCCATATCGTTAATTTTCAGATACTTTCTCTGAAAATTATATTTGATATACTTGCCAGTATAAYTAGGGAGGTGTCCCTGGTATATATAACTAGCGTGATGAAAAACAATTGACAAAAGCGCATACATTAAGTTTCAGACACCATAACGTATTGCAAGGTCTTGATTCCGGATTCCAGAGTGCTGGATTCCGGATTCCAAAGCATAAAATTTCGTGGATTCCGGATTCCGGATTCCCTTACATGGGGCGATAATTAGCATAAGTTAACACAGGGCATCCATTTACCCTAGTCAGTCAATTGAGTGTCTCTTGCTTGGGACTCCGGTCGATCCTTTTCTACGAGGTACGGATGCATCAAACTAGAACTTGCACCAGAATCGCGGCACATCACTACGTTTAGCACACACGTAGGGTTGAAACGATTTGCTCGTCTTAACTTCGGGACCTTCTGTACAGCCGAGATATTTCAGAATGCGATTAGAGAAACCCTGAACGGTATGAGAGGAGAGGTCACCCTGAGTGCGTGGCATCCTTTTGTACGGAAGTGCAACCGATGATCACGATCGAGCATCAAAGGAAACATTCCAGAAGTGTGTTTATCGAAAGGCAGCCTCGAGTTCTTTGGATTTGTCTTCTCGAACAAAGGAATATTAGCCGATCCCCAGAAGGTTAGAGCGATATTGGACCTGAAACCACCGTCAAAAGCTACTAGAGTCAGGAGCTTATTAGCATGTAAGATTGCTGCTCTTGTTTCGCGAAAGGCTTTCGGTACCCGATGAATTTATTTTCTTAAAAATTGTAATGTATAGTAACCACAGGGAAAGATTCGCATCTGTGATCCTCAAGGCAACCCTATGCATTCGAGATCCTCTCATCTCCCTTTCATACATCCCACCTTCTTAAACATTTTAATTATTTACATTTCATAAACATTTTTGTACTTCATACTCATTCGTACGTATTTCATTACAATTTTGTTTGCATATACCAGAATGTTYTCTCTCCCCCACTCCCCACATCCCTACTTCAGCCTGAATACCATGTTGCTCATCTCTCTTTTTCCATACCACATACAAATATCTTTTCCACTCCCCTCCCATCCCCCATTTGTGAGATGATATTCGACACACTTGCCATCTCTCATATATCTCTTTTCCCCGATACTAAATCTCTCTTCTCCCACACTACAAGCAAACCCTTTTCCCCCCTTCCTGGTAAATGATGGTAACACACACTAACCATCTCTCTTCTTTTCTCCCACACTACCTAAAATCCCCCTTCAACAACCTCCCCCCCTCCCCCTCCCCTTCCCCTCCCGTGAACGTGTTGCATTATGGGGCTTCTCCACCAAATGCATTTATCTTTTTGTCTTGAACATCTTATTTTTTCGGGTCTTACGATGTATTTATAGGCGTTCTTCTAATTGTAGTATCTAAGTCTTGTACATCTTTATTTCTTGGAGGTTCAGTAGTTTCTATTCAGAAGTCGCAGATATATTTTCATGTATAGTAACGCAATCTTCTTCGACGGCTAAATTCACATTAGATGGTATATTTGTGCCATCTTGAGTATATCCTTTGTCCTTCATTTCCAAACCTGCAACCCTCTCTTCTTCATCAACAGTTTGACGGTCGTCCAGAATATCTCTGTGGTCTGGGGATTCATTAGTTTCTATTTGCGTTGGCTGTTCTTCCATTTCTAGTGTCCTCCATGGTTTAAAGTAATATTGTAAAAAGGGAAGGAAGAATGATAGCAGTAAAATGGCTCCCGCGGTGTAAAAGGCCGGTTTGTACGAACCAACTGTATCGGCGATAAAACCTTGGAGAAGACAAAAAATCGATGTGATTTTTTTTATTCGAAACCTTCTTATCTTCATCGATCACTGTTAAATAGACCAAAAACCTTCTTATCCATATCACTATAAAATATACAGACCCAAAATATTTCTGGATTTTCGAAAACAGGTGAACTGGCTCAGCCATTCAAGTTTCAAATTTAAATTATTTATTAAATCGGATTTTTTATGTTGCTCTAACATGACGTTGGGCTTTCATTGGTTTTGGGCCTTGTTCTCTCGATACTCTCTTTTCTTCTTTCATTGAAAATAGAAACAGCCCATTGCGCGCGTAGTAAGTAATAGGGACATTAAGATTTGGCAAAATCTACGACGGCGACGTCAACCGGAAGTGTAAATAACTTCACTTTGGGGTTTCGAGCCTTCAAAATCTGTCTTCCTGTGGATGAGTTGACTTTACTGACAATGTTTTGAATAAATTCTTCAATGAACAGAACCCCAAAGAGAAATTATTTACACTTCTGGTTGGCATCYCCGCCTTAGATTTTGAAAATCTTAAAGTCCCTAATGTTTACAACATGATTTTGTATCGCACGAAAATGTTGTAAACAGCTTGTGAAATTCACTAATAATTCATAAATCTTTTGGGACATTTTGAATTTATATGCTAATTAGATACAACCACTAGTGGTGTATTAGAACAGTATACATCCACTAGTGGTTGTATTCAATTAGCATTTTAATTGTAAGGTTTGTATCAGGTTTACATGATATTCAAGTGACCGGATTTCTAAAAGCAGAAATGGCTTACGTTCTCATTAATTATTCATGATTTTTTACAATTATCAATACATACCAATGAGTGGAGGTCCCGTAAAATTACCAATGGCTGATATCATCTGACCAATAGGAAACGAGTATATCCTTAGCCTTGGCTCAACTGTTCGCAATAGCAGAACGACGATCGTGGTGCTAAAAACACCGGTGCCAAAACCAAGGAAAATAGAAAAAAAGATGAAGAAAATATAATTTGAAGACAGCTGAAGTAGAGTTGTAGCGATTCCCATGCTCAGAGCTCCAGCCTGGTTAACATGGAAGGGATTGACTCTTTTGTAGTCCATCACCCTACCCGCTATGATACCAGCAATCATCGAAGAAACGCCAATTGCTATGAAGAGATTTGAAGCTTTCTGAACTGAAATCCCGACTTCACGGCAATAATTAACCTAAAAATGAATTCAAAAAYGCAAGTAAATCCCAAACATTTATTGACCCTGAAACTTCAAGGATTTACTTTAAAAACCCTTTTGGATGAAATGTCATCGAACCATGAAATATTTAAATCAAAAATATTCTTTACACGAGGTTGCTATAAAGTTTACTGTGCGACTACACGAACCAAAGCAACCCAAGCGAATTTTCTCACAAATTTTTGAAACATCCAATCACATGCCAGTATTAGAAAAATGAAATGATCACAGATTTGAAACTATTTCCCGTTAGTAAACATGGACGATTCAAGAATTTGCGTAAATCGATTTGGGAAATATTATAACAGTGGACAGGCCTATCCGAAGATTGAGCGAGAACAAGTTTTTGACAAGCATCATAACAGCATTTTACAGCACACTATCAGTAGAGAAGTACGAGTAAGTCGTTATTTTGTTTAAAATGTTTTGTCAAACTACGATCGCACAGATTCGGCAGTTCTAAGTCTTAAAAAATGGCCACACACAACAAGAATGACTCCACAAGTTGTCGACTGTTTAGAAATGGGGAGGTAAATGAAACCTAGCATTTTTATATCGGAATTACGAGAGAGACTATTATTGGACGTCGGTGTTGTTAATAATGCGATCGATGTACCTCGCAGGTCTACAGTATCAAAATGCGTGAGAGAAGATCTCAACATGACGAAAATTAAGAAAATACTGCCTCAAATACTTGTAGAATCTCCAGCGAATGAAAACATTCAAAGACGAAATCAATTTCTCGATTAAATAAGTGACTTGACTGCAGGTCAGACGAAGACTTTCGGAAGCATCTACTTCTGGTTCATCAGAAGTTCATAAAAGTGGTTGTCTTCTATTTCGCCACCTGGGTTAGATCTTCACTGACGCCTGGCCCCAGCGAATTTCAAAGTCGTGGTTTTCGAACCAAGCAATCCTTGAAGTACATGGAAAAAAATGATTTGGACGTGACCATCAATTCTCCTCAAAAAGTATTGCTGGCTGAAAAGCATATTATGGAGAAAGAGATAGAAAATCTCAAAAATCCCTCTTTGGAACCAAAGGAACTATTCCCTCAGTCATCAACCTCTTTCCAAAGAAACCGCTCCCCAGTTTTAGCGATCAACACGATGAACCAATGCAAGGTCCTTCGTATTTTGATAGCAGTAAGCAACGGGAATCGTGAAAGCGCGGGAACTAAGGAAGAAAATCGATCGGAACCTGTAGGCTATTTACAAAAAAAGAGCATTGAGATGACTCAGAACCATACAGTTTTAGAAACTCAAGTTGAAAGAGCCAAAGAACAATTGGAGACTGTTCGTAGTCAATATGAGCAATCTTGTAGCCAGGGAAATGAAAGAAGAGGAAAGCTGTGCACAAAGTGCCACCAGCCGGGACATTATAAGAGTAAATTCAGCCATGTACTGATATGCTGATATGCTTAGCGGGTGAAAAGCATCCCGAAACTAAAAGTGAGGTGATTGAATTGCAAAAACTAATCAAGGAATTAGAAAAAAAGGACTTCAAACTTTATCCGTCTTTACACAAACAATTGTCTTAATACAATCACGTTTACTGTTTGTTAGTAATAGTATTTTGAGTTGATGCAACTGCAATGTTTAACCGAAATAGAATCCAAGTGTTATTGTAAAAACTCTTCTTGTGTTTTGAAATTATTTGTAATCATTTCACTGTTCTAACACTGGTGTGTGATTGGCTGATTCAAACATTTGTAAGAAAATTTGCTTGGGTCGTTTCTGTTCGTGTAGTCACACAGTAAATACTTACCAAATGGACAAATGATATAAAAGCAGTCATTGCTTGGAGTGTAAATACTATCAATGCAACCACGTACATCGGTCTCTTGAATATCTCCAGCACCATCGACCAGTTCCATTCATGATCACCTGGTTGGTCTTCATTGCCTCTGTGCTCTCTTTCTTCGTCTACTGGGTCTTCATTTTCTCTGAATTGCTTTTCTTTATCTACTGGGTCTTCGACATTAGGATCAAAGCTGCAAACAGCAAGTAATGGTAGTACAAACGAACCAGCCATGATCCTGTACATCGTCCTGAAGCCATACAAATCTATCAGCAACTGGACAATAGGTCCAAGTGACAATACTCCTATATTAGTACCTCCAGTAACGATACCAATGGCAATAGCTTGTCTCTTGTCGAAGTACTTCGTCGAGGCGAATATACACGAAGTAAAAACTAATGACATGCCCAGTCCGTAGAGAATACTATACGAAAAGAAGAGTTGTATAATGTTTGTAGTGAATGAAGTGGCCACGAGGCTTGTTATGCACATTAGAATTCCAAGTATTGCACTGAAACGGATTTTGAGGCGAGTCATGACCATAGTGGACAGCGGCACGCAAAAGAAAACAAGTCCTCCTGCAATGGATCCTCCCCAAGCTGTAAAAGAACAAAATGAGCATCTTTTGAGCATCTGCGAAACTAAAGACTTTCTGCAGCAAATATCGAGAGCACATAAAGGGTTATAGCATATAGGCTTAAAGCTGTAATGTCTTTCGGAGCCAAAAGAAAGGGGTTTTAACGAAGATCATTGTACTTGCCAGTTTTCTCTCTGCTTTCCTTGAAGTGGTCCATTAAACACAGGCATAACAACAGCATAGCACTGTAGCATTCCAAACACTAAAGCAAACGAGAGACACCCTGAAAAGCACACCAACCAGGACCACGCGCTGTCTCGTGTCCGGGGACAGTGGACAGAACTAAAGCATCGTATCCTCATCTTTATATAATTAATTGTTTTCTCTCTGTCTCCTTTTTGTACTTAGCCTGCAAAGTGAAAAAAAAAAAAAATGAATTTGATTCCTTTATATATTTATTTTGGTGTTTTTCCCCTCTCGACAAAATGGCAAAGTTACGCAATGGTACCCAGGGGCCTTTAACGAAATTACCCAAGGGCCAGTCCTTCTACACACTCTTTTTCAAAACCCTCTGTGACACTGACACTACCGGACCGAAAGTCTTAAGGCTCCCTTGCTGTTTTTCGTTTTTTCTAATCTTTTTTCTTCCCGCAAGCGGCAGACGTGATCACGTTTACATTGTTGCTATGCATTTTACTTTGTCTTTTGAAAACCTTCTCACAAAGAAAGACAAGTACTCTTTTATTTATCTAAATTTTGAAGATGTTTTCGCTTCCTTTTTTACTAATTGTGAAGAACTTTTTCATGTAAACTGACTCGCCATAAACCAAATGCTTAATTAAACTCTCTTATAAGCACTGGAGCAAGAACCTGCTTCATATCAATTTTGGTAGCCATAGCAACGTACTAAACAAAACAAAACATTGGCCTTGCGTGAAGACTGTATATTCTAGATTGATCTTGAGTTCAAGTTATTTCTACACAATATGGTAGTCATRATAGTGCAGCCTTAATGGAAGAAATCCGAAAGTATGAATGTCTGTACAACAGGAACAGCAAAGAATATAAAAACAAATACAAGTAAAAAAAAGACGCTTTCTTCGTCCCCCATGTTTTCAAAACGCTATGCTACCACGCGTGGCTCATATGGATTACAACTGACCATAATATCCGTTGGCTCATAAAAGAGCCACAAACTCAGTGGAGCTCGCTCTAGCATAAACTTCAGCGACTTAATGGAAACATATGTCAGAAACTGATAGCGATCGTGAGCGATTCATGCATCAATAATTTCAGTGATCCGGCGATCGTGAGCGATCATATGGAAACCAGGCTTTAGACTAAACGGAATGTTTGTGATTTTATATTTTCTGGCTAAAATACGAAAAATTACATTCCTAGTTCAAATGTCATGCTTCATATTCCAATCTAAAAGGAAACTACGTTGTTTGGCTGTGAATTGAGTAAAATTTACAGCGTGCTAATCTCAGTTTAAGATTTCAGATGTCCGACTGACAACGCTTTTTTGAAATAGGTATATAAATATATGACACGGGAAAATGAGTGGAAATGCCTGGGGTATTAATGTCAAGAAAAGTGAAACTTTATCAGGGCATAAACGTTATAATTTGTAGTTAGACGTTTCGCCGGTTAGGGCTTTCTCAATAACTTGCATGAGCTTCGATTAACAATAATTGGCATTAGTTATATGACTCGATGTGTAAATCCAGTGTTGATGAGAAAACGTTCATTGTTCTCACTTTGAAGTACTAAGGTTGATGAGAAAAGTAGATAACGACTAGTTTTGGAACTAGTTTGGACATTGACTCCGACGAAGGACTAACGTCCGAAACGTCAGTCTATTATCTTTCGTATTTACGGTGATAAAATTATCCACTACGGCACATTTGATGAGAAAAGGTTCATTGTTCTGGCTTGAAGTACTAAGGTTGATGAGAAAAAGGTTTATTGTTCTGGCTTGAAGTACTAAGGTTGATGAGAAAAAGGTTCATTGTTCTGGCTTGAAGAACTAAGGTTGATGAGAAAAAGGTTCATTGTTCTGGCTTGAAGAACTAAGGTTNATGAGAAAAAGGTTCATTGTTCTGGCTTGAAGAACTAAGGTTGATGAGAAAAAGGTTCATTGTTCTGGCTTGAAGAACTAAGGTTGATGAGAAAAGGTTCATTGTTCATAAGGTACCTTAGTACTTCAAGCGACAACAATGAACCTTTTGCTCTCAAGAAGCTTACATGCAAATATAAAACATTAGAGATAAATCCCTAAGATCCCTCTACATYGTTTCTTTAGTCACTACTGCTAATGTCCAAAGTTGATCTGTTGAGTTATAGTTTTTATTTCTTGTCCCTAATGGATCAGCATAATGGTTGTTGTTTTACATTTGCTCTTAACTTAAATAGTGTTAAGTACCAATAGAATAGGATAAACACCTTAAATACTACCAAATGATTATGTTAGTTTAGAAATGTACAAATATAAATCTTTATTTGTAAAACCAAAAATGATGTTAGTTCATATAGTGAAAGGGATTACTATTTTGAATTGCTCACAAGTTCAAATCTATGTTGTGTCGTTTGTTTTGTCAAGTATCAAATAGTGGGAGTTGAACTTAAGTTTTTCTAGATGGACACTAGTCAAGATCAGGTTTTTGGCTTCATTAATGTATTAGTTTTCAGTAAATATTGTACCATTGTTTGGAGTGACTGCCAAAATACCTCTTCCAGATCTTAGCTATTTTGAATCAATTAACCTGTAATGCTGTATAATACTTAGCAACAACTGCTTGATCTTGGAATCTTAGTATAAACAGTAATGACCACTCAAGATACTTCACTCTAATATGAAGCTTGAGTACTGGAAGTAAAAACCATGCAGTGCGAGTTGTCTGTTGCGTAGGGGTAGCCTTTATTTTGTGTAGAATATCCATGTGCTTCAGTAAAGGTCCATAAAATTTCAAAGTGTTTGCATTGTTGAAGTTGTGCATTCTTTACTTTTTCATTGGTATTTATGAACATTTTGACGTAGAAATGAGGCTAACCCTGAGTAAATGAATCTGTGATCAAGGCAACACAACAGTATCGTATGAATTTGATAATGTAGGTATATTAGATAAAGTATTTCAAACAAAATGATGTACATAATCAGAATTAATTTGATAAATTAACTAAATACATGTAACTTTTAATGAAGGCGTAAATGCTTAACTGTACAGATGTAAAATAATAATAAATTATATGTAGATAACGACTAGTTTTAGAACTAGTTTGGAATGCGTCGGTGTTTTTTAGTTGAATCAAATGTGTCGTAGTAGATAATTTTATCACCGTAGGTATGAGAGATAGTAGACTGACGTTTCGGATGTTAGTCCTTCGTCGGAGTCAAATAATAATAATGATAATAAATTATATTTTAATGATATATGATAAGTATATTTTAAAGGCGGTATTTAGTCGGCTACTTACTCGGTTTTTACTTCATCGATGTTTGCAATCTTAGTGAATTTCTGTCTTCTTCAGGCGTCTAATACCCTAACAATAATATGCATGACTGACTTGCCTCAGGATATATGGAAATTGCTTCAATAGTCACAGCCAATTATATCAGTCAATCAGATATAGTATGGCGTTCCATCCCCGCCAAAAATCGAACTTGACGATTCAACATTCAACTTTACAATTCAGCGTCCAACTTCACGATTAACATCCGCCAACTTCACAGATCAACTTTCAACATGAGCGATCAACATTCGACTGAGCGAAGTTCAACATTTGCTTTTTATACTCATCGACATCTATCGACATTTGACCTTCCTTGTAGACTTTTCATTTCCCTGCTAGCAGAGCCTATTTCCCTTTTGTTTTGGTTGAGAGAGAAAAATAGACTCGTGGCGTAACTTAGCAACGCTGTCATGTTTTTGACATCCGCTCTCGTCAAACAATGTTTGGCGCTACGGTGTGTTACATTTGCTCATGCGCACTACATGTAATCGGTTTAAAACCGGCTTTAAAACTGATTTTGTTCGTCGACGATCATGGACAGCGGTGTATCAAAGGAAACGCTCTACATATGCAGAGTCTTCTTCCTCCCCGCCTAAAAGAAGGGAGAGAAAGAGAAGAGAGACTCTGCTAGCAGGGAAACTTATCAGTTATGCAGATGAAATTCCCAGTTTAATTTCCAACATTTGACTTTCAATTGTTTCTCGATATGGAACTTTACTTTTTTCACCAAAACAATTTTTTTCACCAAATCCCGGCCAACTCATACGTCACACCTTTGGGGGAGGGGACTGGGGTATTTTTTCCTACACCTTAGTAATCACCTAACATTTGAATCGTCAAGTTCGATTTTTGGCGGGGATGGAACGCCACAGTATAGGATCAGTGATAGGTATATCCTTCAGGTTTGATATCGCAGCAGTTGAATATATGAATGCTTTTCATAGTTGGTTTTAAAAGAACTTAGAACATAATTGTCCCGCCTGCCTAGTATTGTATAAGCTATGGTTTTTTTAATGTTTTTTTTTTTTATGGTACCTGCACTCAATACGAAGGATGAAAACCATGACAACAGGAGAGGTTATTTCTCATCTTTATGATATCTCAAGTGTTTGGCACTCTGGCTAGTCATACTGTTAATATATGACCATGTACAGATTATCCAGGTCGTTGTTGTGGTTTTATACTATGATCAAGCAGAAGCATGACACTTAGAAACAGTAGGAAACACCACACGTAATTTAATTTTTTATATTTTATAATTTATACAGTTTACTCTATAGTCCGGCATATATATTACTGATTGAGAATGTAACTAAATAATTACAACTGAGTAAATGAAATTAGATTATTAGAATAGTACAGTTGTGGCTTTCATGTGACGGCTGATCGGAAAAAAGTCAATGGAGTAAAAGATAAAACCTTTATTTACATTCTGATAAAGCTTTAAAATATTTGAAATGATATTTATCATCGTTTTAAGACAAGCATGTATTATTGTTGTGTCACTCCATAATAAAGGTTCAATCCAGTTATTTTCGGTAACTTTCAGTATATATTAGCTTTAAGTTATAAAACGACAATCACGATTTAACAACCTTACTTATACATTATGAACACCTTTTACCTTATTATACTCGATTTGTAGAGAATCATCACTTGAAGACAGTAACACGATGCGAATATAACTCAACAGTCAAACTCTTTGAAGGATAACGTGACTACCACAGCCAGCCCGTCATGCCAACGTCTAAAATTTTAATTTTTTAAGCGTTTCATTTCTGTTTTTTTTTGCAGTCCCTTATACACTGTTATGCACCATTTTCTTCATTTTGTTAGGACTGCAGTTTTTTCTACTTGTAAGCAGAGGTGCTTAGCGTTTAAGATTTTTTTATTATTCTCATTACATGTCCTCAACATAAGCATGTAGTAATATGTACCTAATTCAAAAAACGTTGTCATCGCCAAAAACGATAGGCAAGGCGAAAAGCGATAGGATATATGTCATTCCAAGATCCAAGAATAGCTGGAATGACTTGTGTTTCTTCTTCTTATTCCCGTTAAGAGTATGTACCTTCGTGCTGAGACTTATCCGATGTTCTTCGTATTCAACGAAACCATTTCCATGTCGGAGTAACCTATCGCCTATTGCCTTTGGCGATGACAACGTTTTTTGAATTAGGTGTATACAAAAATGCAATAAGTTACCATGTAACAAAGCCTTTCTCGATCATTAATAATTTTGTGAATGTTGCTATGCTTTGTGTATTGATTGCGGCCATGGATTTCGTGACGGTAAATCTAGTCAGTCAGTGAGTGAGTCAGTGAGTGAGTCAGTGAGTGAGTGAGTCAGTGAGTGAGTCAGTGAGTGAGTGGGTGAGTTAGTCAGTGAGTCAGTGAGTCAGTGAGTCAGTGAGTCAGTGAGTCAGTGAGTCAGTCATTTTATTTAGTGAGGGTAATTCGGTACGTTGATCACCTCAAAACCGAAAACCAGGAAGTCATCCAAAGTGACAGAAGAAATGGATGAGAAAGTGAAGTTGATCATAACGACTTTGGACTTTTAGAAAACAAGTTGTTCACTTCTCCAATCGGGGAGTGCATAAAATTAAAGTGTTCCAACGGGTACACATAGCTTGAAAACAATACGCAAAGTGTCAGCCTGAAGAAGAGAAGGCCAGCTCATTTGATAAGGCTAAAGTCATGTATCATGATAAACGTCTTCATGTCCAAGGTCCTCAACCAGAACCGAGACCAAATACAAGTGATGTCATGCCCACCGAAAAAGAAATGCATAAACGAGGCTGGGCACTGAAAACGTCCAAGAATTCCGCACGTTTCACAAAGAAACAACGACAGTACCTGGAGCAATTTTCAATTTTCAGAGGCCAAGAACAGGACATAAAATGAATCCCTCAACTGGTGCGCGAGATACTCTGAGCGATACGCTATAAGGATTTTGATCGTTTGCGTAAATTTAAAGTGAATGAATTCCTCTCACCCAGCCAAGTACAGTCTTATTTTTCTTAAAAAAGCATAAGTTGAAGAGCGGGTGGCCATGGATATATAGAATGATGTTAAGGAGGAAGAAGAAGAGAGGAACAGCATATTACAACAAATGTTCGTCCTTTATTTAGCTTTGTAAATCTTTATCGATTCGGTTGTTTTTAACCAACTATCGTATGTTTTTCGTTCAAGAAAAATGCACCTTTGTTCGCCTGCTATCGCGGGGTCCCATCGGCAAAACAATGAAGGCTTTCATTCAATAATTTTATATCTTTCTACAGATAATTTATTTAATTATTGAATGAAATATAAATTTTTACCGAATATTCAACTGTTTATTAAGCTGTTCGATCAAGTATGATTATAAAAATGAGCTTAAATTTGTGTTGTTGAGAGATGTTATTGTATAAAGACCTCGACTTTCACTTTCAAAAGCTAAAAAAAATTCAAAAACATTTACACGCCAATTTACTGACAAAGAAATTCGTCATTTCGTATTTTGCATTGCCTTTTGTATTATTTTCTATTTTGTTTCAGTTGTTCTTGTTAAGTTTATTACTGAATGTAAGCTTTGTTTTTGGAAAACTGTAAAAGACCTATTAAGTAAACCTCATTTTTTGCTCACCTTAACCAGTTTTCAAGTCTGTTTTTTAGTCATGATTTCAGTCCTAATAAATCTCCAGATTTTCTATTTCAATGAAAGACATCCGAGGTAAATTTCACTAAACTTGATATTGTATTGTATTACCTGTAGTTATCTTTCGTTTTTTTTTTTAACAGAGGCGGCGGAAGCTGAAAAATTTTGGGGGGGCACTCCAATATTTCACGGTACCTTGAAATGACCCCCCCCCCCCGCCTCCCTGTTTAGCTTGATTACAAACGTGTATGTGTGGTATTTCAATCAGTAACATTTTGCGCGCATTAAACCACTTGCAATTGTGCTGAGAGACACAAAAATGATGCAAGTCGTCGCTAGATATATCGTATATTTTTTAGATACAGAAAATTATGTAATATCACAATAATAAATAATGGTAATCATAACCAAATCTCATGCGTTTTTTTTTTGTGTGTGTGTGAGGCATTATATTCTGGGGGGGCCAGGCCCCCCCAAAAAATCTAGTGGGGGGGG